AGTTTGGCCATCACCACTTTAGCCTCCATCTAAAAAACACAACAGCGCCCACAGAGATGAGTCAGTGTGTTTATAGGTGAGCGGGTCTTCATGTTGACTTACGCTGTCATCCTCACCTGAGCAAAGTTCTGTCCCAGACACGAGCGAGGACCGAGGGCAAAGGGGTAGTAGCAGTAATAAGGCCTTGAACAGACGAGAGACAGCTTCAGTTACTGTGAACCATTTCACTCATTTAGTCTGAGATAATAAAGTGTGTGCAAACATGAAATGTAATAAAGTCAGCATGGTGAAACAGTGTGTTCCTTACTTGGGAGCATCTGGGTGAAATCTGTCTGGATCAAATCTCAGTGGATCCTTGAAGAATCTCTCCAGTCTCCCGCTCACATAGGAGCTGAACTAAATATGAGAAGATTTAATTTTACATTTTAACCATAAATGTATTTGTAATTGCTTGAATAAGACCTCATTTTTTATGTTTTTCTGACAACTTTGTGACAGTTTATACATACACTACCAGTCAAAGGTTTGGACACTTTTCTTATTCAATGTTTTTTTCTGTTTTTTTCATGAGTATTTACATTGCAGATTTTCACTGAACGCATTAAAACTTTGAATGAACTCATATGGAATTATGTAATAAACAAAAAAGTGCGAAAGAACTCAAAACATGTTTATATTTTAGATTCTTCCAAATAGCCACCCTTTGCACTCTTGGCATTCTCTCGATGAGCTTCTTGAAGTCATCGCCTGAAATGTTTTTCCAACAGTCTTGAAGGAGTTCCCAGAGATGCTGAGCACTTGTTGACTCTCTTGCCTTCACTCTGCGGTCCATCTCATCCCAAACCATCTCCATTGGTCAGGTGACATCTGGTGCAGCACACCATCACTCTCCTTCTTGGTCAAACAGCCCTTACACAGCCTGGAGGTGTGTTTGGGGTCATTGTCCTGTTGAAAAATAAATGATGGTCCAACTAAACAAAAACTGGATGGCATGGCATGGCACTGCAGGATGCTGTGTTAGCCATGCTGGTTCAGTGTGCCTCCAATTTAGAATACTAAATTGAGACTCTTGGTCTTTCCTGGTGTGCTCCTCAAGTGAGCCAGTTTCATTGTAGCGCTTGATGGTTTCTGTGAATGCACTTGGGGACACATTCAAAGTTTTAGCAATTTTCCGGACTGACTGACTTTCAGTTCTTAAAATAATGAAGGACTGTCACGTTTTCTTTACTTAGAATTCATATAATGGCGAGAACCAATCAGCTAACAGGTAGGGTTGCCAACCGTCCCTTAAAATACGGAATCGTCCCGTATTT